CTAGCTCCTGGCAAGCACAGATGAACTTTCTGTCTCTATAGATTTGCCTTTTCTGGATATTTCATATAACTGGAATCATATAATACAGGGCATTTAGTGACTGGCTTCTATCACTTAGCAAAATGCTTTTAAAGTTCATTCATGTCATAATATGTGTCAGTACTTCACTCCTTTTCATTACCAAATATCATTATTTGGCTATAGCACATTTTATTTATTCATTCATCAGTTGGTAGACATTTGTTTCCGCTTTTTGACCATCATGAATAATGCCACTATGAACATTCATTTACAAGTTCTTATGTGGACATACGCTTTTCTTTTGCTTGGATATATACCTAGAAGTGGGATTGCTGGATCATACTTTTAATATATGTTTAACTGTAATCCTCATGTTAAACTATAACCCATATGTTTAATGAGCTATGTTTAACTTTTTGAAGAACTGCCAAACTGCTGCAACACTTTACATTCTCACCAGCAATGTATGATGTTTCCAACTTTTCCACATCCTCACCCACACTTGTTACTGTCTGCCTGTTTGATTCTAGCCATCTTAGTGGGTATGACTGGTATCTTATTGTGGTTTTTATTTTCATTTCCCTAATGACTAATGATGTTGAGTATCTTTTCATGTGCTCTGTATGTTCTTCTGAGAAAATATTTGTAAATCATATATCTGACAAAGGGCTTGTATCCAGAATATATAAAGAAAATTTACATCTCAATAACAGAAAAATAAATAACCCAGTTTACAAGTGGGCAAAGGATCTGAGTAAGTCATTGGTTTTTGAGAAAGCTGTTTGGTTGATGTGGACAAAAGAGGCTCTATGGATTAAAAATTTCATTCTGAAAACAAGACGTACTAGTTCTATTTAAGAAGTTTGGTAAGAAATAAAAAGAGAGAGGAATGGCTGCCTGTTAGGCAGGCAGAGTCAGCAGGAATTTTTAGAGGGGTAGGGGGGACATATTTTAGGATGATGGAAATAACTGTGAAATTTTGTTGTATCTACAGAAAGTGTTGTGTTTACTGAGGAGGGAAAACTTTTCCTCTACTCTCTTTGATTCAGTGACTGGGAGTATGTGAATTAAACTAACAAAAGACAGATTAATGGGGGGAAAGGCACACAATTTTTATTAATATTTACATGCACAGGAGTTCACAAAAAAGTAAATCTCAAAGAATCAGACTCAGGGTCTTATATACCCTCTTAACAAAGGAAAGAGGATTTGGGCTTCAAAAGACGATAAATTGTGGGGACATAACTAGGAAATATATGGGAGAACTATTGGAAGATAAGGGCTGTTTTTGTAAGGTCTGATTATGCAAACTCATCTCACTGTCAACTCTCCCTCTCTGGTGATGGTTCAGGGGAAACACGTTCACAAAGGGAAATGTATGCCCTGCTTTTAGGCAGATAAGGGGAGGGCAGAGAACTCTTTATCCATCTGTTGATTCCCAGTTGCCTTTAGCTCAAAATAATCCTTATGCCAAAGTGCTATAACATTTGGGGGTGGCATAGCCTGATTCCCTTCATGTTGAAAGAAGAAAACCTGCTGAGGCTAAAAGATTAAGAGAGGTTTCATGAAAGAAAGGGATCTTAAGCTGGGCCTTGACTAAAATAGAGGCTATGCCAGACATAATACATAAGAATATAACCTTTAAAAATTGTGAATCACTGTGTTGTACACCTGAAACATATATAATATTGTATATCAACTATACCTCAGTTAAAAAAAAAAAGAACATAAGCAAAGGCATGATCAAACCCAAGCAAAGTATAAAAGCACTGGGCAACAGAAACATTTGAGGAGTGGTAAGGAAAATCTTGAATATAGCCAAGTTGGATGTATTGGAGTATAATGGGAAATAAGATAGATTGGGACTGTTTTAGTTGTTCTGGGAATAATACACAGGATGGATTGACTGTGAAGAGAGATTGGTATTAGGGAAGCTGAAAATTACATTAATTCAGGCAAGTAGTACTGTTCTATACTAAGGTATTGGCAATGGAGAGGAAGGAGAAACCAAGGGAAACAGGTGGAGTGACCACAGCTAGACGGCTGGGATGCCACACCAGGAACACTCCTATGGCTGCCACTGGTCTCACAACACTGCTGCCCAGGAGTTTTCTCAGCTGTTCTTCCTTTTTATCACAAGGTTCCAAGTCCTAGGTGGGGGTGCCTGTGCCCTGGATGCTCAGAGCAGAGGGAGGATCTGCACCCTCCAATTTCTGCAGAGGGAAGTGGAGAACTGGCTCCCACCAATACTACACACAGGAGAATTCTCCCCAAATGGAAGAGGGGTTGGGGTCCTGGGCAGCCAAGAGGGGAAAGAGCACCCAGTGCAGGGCCAGACTGAAAGGACTAATATGCCCCTTCGGCAGAGGGGTGTGGTAGAAAAGTCCTATCATTAACCTTAGGCAAATCATTTTGGGAGCAAAGTGGGATTTGGGCTAGAGAGCGAATAGATTGATGGCAAAGAGATCAGTGAAATGTGTAGGAGAAGGCAGATGAGAGGCAGTTTTATTCCTGATGGAGGATCACAGGACCTGATGATTAAAAGAATTGGGAAGGTAAGAAAGAAAAAAGAACTTGGGACTTGGTACATGGTGACAACGCCTTTAACTGAATCTGAGAACCCAAGAGATGAACTAGGTTTTTGGAGGAAGATGATGAGATCTTAAAGGTAAGTTAAGTGAAACATAGACCGTTTAATGTAGAACTCAGGAGGAAGGACAGGATTGGAGATATTTCTGTTATCATCTAGGCTTTGATGGTAACTAAAACAAGGGAATGATGAAATCCTCCAGGAAGAGAAGAAAAACAGAAGAATAAATCCTGGAAACATCAGTGTTCAGAGTCAGTAGAAGAGGAGGTAAAAACAAAACCAAACCAAACCAGGAGAGACAAATGCCAGTGAAGTCAAAGAAAATCTGTAAGCAACATGCTGGGGTAGGAAATGGGGCAGTCATCATGGTGATATGCTATGGAGAGATCAAATGATTCAATACTGGGGAAATTGACAATTAGCAGGTCAGTGTTGACTTCTAGCTCGAGTAGCTTCAGAAGAGATAGGACAAGAACTAGGGGGCATTAGGTTGAAAAGTTACTGATTTACTGCCTTAGCTCCAGATTGACCCTTTTTGCCTGCTCTGAAGCCTAATCAGTAGAGGGCGCCGGAGGGACACTGCAACAGGAATGGGTGTTTTCCTTGTAGCACCTGCTGTTTCCCCAGTGCCCAGCTTCTCTTGAACCCAGCGTTTCTCCAGCTTTGGACAGCAGCCAGAAGCTTCCCTGAGCACCTTCCCCATACTCCAACTATAAAAGGTAGCCTTATACAATGCCTTTGGTGTTGGGTAGGACATCTCCCGATGACTAGCTTTCCCTCAGCACCCTAGAGCAGGGGTCAGCAAACTTTTTCTGGAAAGGTCCAGGGTAATATTATGGCTTTGCCTCTCATTTGGGTCAGTCACAACTACTCAACTCTGCCATTGTGATGCAAAACAGCCACACACAAGACATAAACAAATGAGTGTAGCTGTGCTCCAATAAAACTTTATTTAGGGACAGTGAAATTTTCATTCCATGTAATTCTCATATAATGAAATAGCCTTTCGATTTTTTTTCACCCATTTAAAGATGAAAAAGCCATTTTTAGCTTCCAGACTGTTTAAAGACAGGTGGTGGGCCACGCTGTAGTTTGAAGACTCCTGCTCTCAAGGGCAAATTTTTCCATTAAGTTCCACAGAAGAGATTTTCAACAAGTGCAGCATCACAGCAACTCCCCTGTGCTTCAGTGAGCTGCAGTGCCCTCTCCCACAAGATCTGGATCCCAGCCCAGCATGTGGGGATTGGGTGAAGCAGAGGGTCTCTTCTTTGGGTGCTCTGTCTTAGCCCTAGCGGTGGTGGCTGTTCTTTATATCTGCTATTCCTATTGTCTTTAAAGTCCTCATTACTTTCTAATACTAATTTTTATTACTGCATAACAAATTGCAAATTTAGCATCATAAGACAATAAACATCACCTCAGTTTCCGTGGGTCAGGAGTCCAAGCATAGCGTAACTGGCTTTTCTTCACGGTCTCAAGACTGGAGTGAAAATGTCACCAGGGCTACGATCTCTTCAGGAGCTGGGGTCCTCTTCCAAGCTCACTGGCTGTTGGCAGAATTCACTTCCTGTGGTTGAGGGACCAAGGCCCTCAGCAGCGAGGGTCAGCCTTACTGACCCTCTCCAAATATGGCAGTTTGCTTTAAGGCTAATAGGAGAACATGTCTGCTGTTGCTTCTTGTCTCTTACCTTTAGGCACTCTTTTGTAATCTCACTTTTAAGTGAGTCAAGTGATGAGGGAATCTTCATTATATCTGCATAATGCCTTTACCTTTGTCACATAACTTAATCTCAGGGGTGATAGCCCATTATATTCACAGATCCTGCCCACACTCCAGGAGATCACACAGGGCATATATATCAGGGGTAAGAAATCTTGGGGGTCATCCTAGAATTTTACCTACTACAAGAGATAAAAATCATTGGTAAATGTTTAAATCCAGTTTTTATATTTTCTTTAATGTTCTTTTCATAGTGTTTTTAAAATTTTGCTATCAAAGCCGAAATGTCAGGATACTTTAACTTCATATAAAATGTTTGTACCATAATTAATCATTATGTAAGATGTTGAAAATCTGGTGCTTCTAATTCAACTAACCACGCAATTCATGGTTCACAACCTTCTCCATCAGTTCTGCCGCAAGGTATTGAGTCTGCCAAAAGGCCAATGTGTCTAAAATAGAACCTTAGATGTATTTAGAATAAAATTGTTTGTTTTTTCTGTGTAGAAGTTATACAACACAGGTTATACATTTTAGACTGAATGTACATTATAAGGACTCATGCAAATCATAATTTGTAGCTAGCATTCACAACATTTCTTAACCTATTATCTTATGTGTATACTATGAAATTTGATTCAATATAATTCCAATAAAGTTGGGAACCTCATTTTTTGAGTGTTTTATTATAGTTTATTAAAAAAAAGTTTTTATTTACAAGACTCAAAGTAAACAGAAAGGCAGCTATTTAATCACAAGTGGCCCAGACAGTAGTTATTCAGACTACTGTGGAAGCATACTTAATGCATACCCCTCAATGTTAGGCATAAATAACTTAAACTATGCAGTCCAAGTTCTGGGTTTTATATAGATCTCCATATATATGACACCTGTGGTCAAATTTTAAGATTGGTAAAGTCAATTTGAAGCTGCTTATATCTTGAGTATAGGTTTCACTATTACAAATATATGATGTTAACTAACAAAATAGTAGTCCTCAAAGATCTTCTCTTTGCCCCATGCTTATACACTTGTAATCTGAGTCTGTTTGCTAGTCTCCCTTCTTGTAGTTACTCTTCAAATTACAGTGTTATGCATTGAGTTCCCTGTGCATCTCACCCATCTCCTTTATCTGAAATAGAAGGAAAAAGAAAATTTTAAATAATTTTCCAATCTTTTGTTCATTCTGAAAATAACTTTAAAAAACAAAGAGGAAAGCAAGATAATTCTCTTCCACATTCATGAGTTATTTAAGTTTTGGGTTTTTTTTAAAGGTATATTACAAGGAAGCACACATTGAGTGCATGATCCAAATTGCTATTTAGAGATAAGAAGGCCAAAGTGACGGGGAAGTAGCAGGCAAGCTAGATCTTTAAGAATGGGTAAGATTTTTATTGCAAGTATACCATTTGTACATCTAGGAAGAACTAATTAATCTTCTGTTATCAATCTTTTATTTTACAGGTGAGGAAACTGAAGTTTAGAATTAGGTCATTTGTCTCAGATTACACAACTAGTTACAGGCAGAACTGAGACAAGGTGACAACTACTACAGCTGGCAAACATCTTGCTATGTGGCAAGCATGGGACCACTTCACAGATTACTTTGTTTAATCCTTACATTGGGTCTGTACTACTATTCCCATTTTACAGATAAGGAAACATGCAGGCTTAAAGGAAGTTAAAAAACTTGCCTAGCTAACAGAGTGGTCAGACCCAGGTCTGTATTCCCCTTAACCACAATACTACACTTTCATTCTAACTTTCTGCAGTGATTCAGTTCAGGGATGGTCCACCCCCTAGACCTGTGGTCACCAAACCAGGTAAGCCAGATGATTGAGTATGGTATAGGGAGAGAATGTTAGAACCTTCTAGTTCCATTGGATTTTTTTCAATATTCTTTTACATTTTATATAGCATATATACAATTGCAAATAACTGTATAAATATAGAAAAATTGGTGGGGATACTGAAAAAGTTATTGATAGGGCTCAGAGACAAGTATGTTCATATCCAATTCCAAGTGACTGAAACATACTAACAGTCTCACACTTCATTTCCATACTAGTGTAACACGACTAGTTAGCAGGCAACAGATTTACCTGGATTTAAGTTAAGCTCATTTTTAATGATTATTATTTCACTGACATAGAGATAGTCATTATATCAGGTCATCAGTCACACTGACTTTCTCTAATGTAAATCCACCAGAGTATGCCTCTGAGTCTACTAAATGTTGGTTCTTTGTGCAATAAAAATCATAGGCTTCCTGTCCCACTGAGGCAGAATTCAATATAATCTGGGCTGCTATGAAACTCATGCAAGAGAATTTAGGTAAGGGCATACTGTGAGACTGTCCCTAAGGCCCTGAGGACTATACTACAATGTAATTGACTATATTCAAATGTAATTGAGACCCGTCAGTGTCTGGAAGGTACCAGATTATTAGGAGTAAGAGATCGAACAAAGACCTTTCAATTAAATAATCCACCTACCTCAGCTTTCTCATACTTTGCCATTCTTTTCTTTCTGGAAATAACCTAAATGGAAGAAAAATGATTACTAATTGAGGACTGCTACCCAAACAAAAAGTTAGTCTAAACTGACACATATGCTTTTAACAGACATAATTCTGATCAGAACAAATTTAATTTTAAAGTCTACCTATAGCCACTGTTTCTTAAATGCACCAAGAAAACAATGAATAATCCTTAGTGAAATTTAACAACCTAGTATGCATTCTTCCACATCTTATTCCACCCTAATACAAATATATAAACATATGCATATAAATTTGGGGGGGGTCTGAGAAAATGAGATCATCCAATGTCATTTCTGTCTTTGCACAGCCTGTATCAACATCACAGGAATCCTTCCAGACCAAAAGCTGTAGATTGAACTCCTTCTTGTTAATAGTCACTTTATTCCATAGCATGGATACCTTAGTTTACTCAACCATTCTTTTCTGGATGTACACTCAGGTTGTTTCCAGATTCACCCCTACTAGCAATGTTGCAATACGTGACTTTGACCATGCTTCCTTATTACTTATGCTTTCATTTCTACCAGACAATTAGATTTCTATGATTAACTCTTCATGTTTATTTGCCATCTGGAATTCCTTTCATGTTGTCTATTTATACCTGTTATCGTTGTTTTTTTAGTTTCTTCATCAGTTAATTTGTAAGAACTCTTTATATATTATGCATAATAACCTTTTTTGTTTCATGCACAGTGAATATTTCCTGCAGCCTATCACTGAGATTTTTTCACTTTAAAGTATCTCTGCCATACAAAATATTTAATTTCAGTGAAGTCAAATATGTATCTCTTCCTTCATGGATTCCAGATTTCTTGCCTTAAGTGATTTCTTTTACCACAAGGTTGTACAAACATATCTTAAAATTAATTCTGAGACTTAACTTTATTTTTTTAACATTTGAACTATAATCCATCTAGAATTTGTGTCTGAACATGAGTTCACTGCCCAACTGCTTTCACATTGCTGTGTTCCAGAATGTGCCATCCACACAACTGAGCAATACAGCCAGCTCTGGTGGGATGAAACAGGAATTCAACTTTTGTTTTCTTCCAGATGGATGGCCAAGTGTGGTAATTCCACTGAACTGAAAATGTAAGTTCTCATATAACCTCTGGTCTATTTCTGAATTCTGTTGTGCTACTAAGATTTCCGATGCTGAAGCATGCTTACATATCTAAAATAAACTTTGCTTGTTCAGGTGATATAGCCTTCTTCTGAAGCACTGCTACATTCAATTTACTCGTCTTTTATTTAGAACTGTGGCTCATATTTATCCCTTTTAATTCTTTTTTGTGCCAACCTTAATTTGTGTTCTGTTGTTGCATCTCACTGAATGGCTTGGAAGTCCAGGTGTTTTGCACCAATCCTGGCAAGTGGTGAACTGTGTGCAGTGAGAACAACTGAAGGGTATGTGCTATTTGATGGCAACATAACTGACCTGTGAGGTGCCCTGCTACAAGCTTTTCTCAGATCAGTAGCCTTTCTTGCTTCATAAAGTGACTATTTTATAAAAGGGGCCCAGAAATGCAATAGATTCATTCAATTAAAAGAATTATAAAAAAAAAGATTTTGCTTCATTAATATGTTTTGGAACATGGTTGTGGCTTTTTCATGTTACCATCTTTTCTTGAAAGAAAAAACTCTTAGATGAAATTTTACTTGTCCTATACTCACCAGCACCACAATTCCGGCAATAATTGCTATTGCCACAACCACAATGACAGCAATAATACCAGCTTGTAGACCCTGCATTGAAAATTCAGGTGGTTTTTCATCAACATAGTAAATTGAAGTTCGACCAGGATCCAGATCCAGTAGCTCCCCATTTACTTTCAGGTCCATCCTTTTGGAATAAAACAAGGATTCATCTTTAACCTGTATTGAGAAGGAGAAAAGCAATTTAAAACCTACCATGGCCAAAAGAATTACATGCCAACTATATACCAAAAGAACTGTTGCCAAAAATCTTTCTGGTTTTGGTGATAAACAATCTCATTCATTGAAATACACAAAAAACACTTTATTACAGGAAAATTATAAACATACACAAAAGTAGAAAGAATAGTATAATGAAGTCCCACGTACTTATTACGCAGATTCAATAATATAAACACATGGCCAACCTTATTTTATCTATTGTTTCTTTTATCCTTCCTCTCCACTCCCATCCTCCTCCTGGGTCAAAGTGAATCCCAGAATTCATCAGAAAATAGCTCACTATAGTATATTAAAAGTTTAAACAAACATTAATCATATCAGTTACAGAGCATTTCTTATACAATCTCTTGTTCATGGAAATTGTAACGGGAAGGCTATACCTACAAACTACATAACTGCCAAGGAGGTAGTAAGAACCATAGAGAGAAGATATTCTTGGCAGAACAATTTGATAAAAAGACATAAATGTACAACAAGCAGCAAAGCTGTGTTAAGAATGGCGCATGTCCAGGGAGGACAAAATTAACTACAGCATGAGAATCACTTGGAGAATAGTTACTCATATGGTTGATCTGTAAGTATAGAAATTGATGAAAGATCTTGACTCCACTGAGGCAGGATAGACAACATTATATTTCTAAACATAAGAATAAAATGAGGAAAATTATACTCACATCTTTTTCAAAATAGTAAGCCACATCAGCTATGTCTACATCATTCTGAGTTTTCTGAGAAGAATTCTGTACTAGATCAATAGTGATAACATCATTCTCATACTGAGGGAAAAATTGAAAAACATAAATTAATATTAGTATAACCCAACTGTATGAAAATATCATTGTTCAATATTCAGAATATTCAGTGTTTGATTTTCTGTAATCTGTATGGGTTGGTGTCCATTAGTAGATAATTGAATTTATCACCAATAATTTAAAAGGGAGGTTTTAAAAATCTGTCAAAGGTAATTAAAACAGCAATGCAACCAAAGATAATTACAATTCTTTTTCAAAGGAGAATTTTCTTTTCCTAAGAGGATTTTAAACAAGATATTAAAGTAGCTTATTTGGTTATAACTACTTTAATACTAAAATGCTAAAGAAATGCAATCCAAAATGCAGTAGCATTTACCATATTTTGCTTTTAGGGAGGAAAAAAGTATATCCCTTCCAAAAAGTCTTAAAAAGTGACATCAATTTTCTACCTTGAAAGAGTTCCGTCATACTATTCAAGCATTTTTCAACCAGAGTTGGGAGAGTTAAGGATTAACTGGCTAGACTAACTCCTAAAACTTGAGAAAATATGACTAAGCAGCATCCTAAAGTAAGTATTGCCAAAAGCAATCACAGAGGTTCTCCAAGGTAAGAAGACTGGCATGTGTTGGTGATACTAAGAGACACTCTAAGGGTAGGCTGAGGTTTTCAAAGACTATGGCAGGAAAGCACTAACAGGCGATTTGCAGAATTAAGTGCCCAAGGCTTAAACTGTTACTCAAATGAGGTTTAACCATTATCAAAAATCATATCCAGTCAACTGTCTGTTAAAGCTCATTTAACAAAGAAACAATAACAACAAAAAAAACAATAACACAAACAAAAAACTTACCAGAATATTTGTGATATATTTTGGATCCAGCTGATAACGACTTGTGATTACCTCTTTGAGTGCACTGTAAATAATTTAAAAATCTGCTTTAAAAAAAAGTGTCCTACGCAACATTAAGAAGCACTTCTTTTTAACTAAGCACATAACTCAAGGTCTAGAATTGTCATTAACCAAGCATAAAAAAATGTTATGCCATTTTGCAACTATCATTGTAATAATTGATGCAAAAACAGTTGCATTCTAGTTTGATTAGAAATGGGTATTCACACTGTATCCAAGTATCTGCCCACAGATTACATTTATTAATTACAAAGAGGAAAATAGTAACTCTACAGTGGAGAAATCTGGTAGACCCCACCCTGACCAGTTAACATCACTAGTGAAGGGGCAGGCTGACGTCATGTGCCTCCCAATGTAAAGGACTAGGACAGACACAGATAGGTAGTAAGTAGTTTTACTGTCAAAAATGCATTACCTGTATTTAATTATGAGGAAATACCAGACAAATCCAAAATCGAGGGACATTCTATAACATAACTTGCCCATATTCCTCAAAAATATCAAGGTCGTGGTTTATCAATCAAATACTAATAAAAATTTTAAATTTTATTGGAAAAAAAAAATCAATGTTATGAAAAATAAAGAAAGGCCAAAGCAGTGTTCCATATTTATAGAGACAGAACAATCATCATAACTAATGCAAGATCTTAGGTTGGGTCCTGGGTCAGAGGGGAAAAAACAGCCAGAGGACATTGGGGAAACTGGAACAATACAGTGCAATGTAAATTTCCTGAATTTGACCACTGTACAGTGGTTATGTAAGAGAATGCCTTTTGTTCCTAGGAAGATACACCACAACATTTAGGGGTCAAGATGCATGACATTTAGAATTTCCTCTCAAAAGGTTCTGGGAAAAAA